GGGGGGGGGGTATCTTTATCAAATTATGAAATCAAGACCTGAATCCATAAAATAATAGAGATGAAGGAAAATCTTTAAGGTCTTGCAAGAACAAGGCAACAAGCTCAAAGAGACCATCTCGAGCAAATGTTACTGATTGATTTAAATGTCAGTAAGGAGTAAAATCCACACCTTTCCCAGCTAAGCATAGTCTTTGAACAACAGCTCTCACACTAACAGCCAACTCATTCACTGCAGTATTTAATATTTCATTTGCAATGACATCACCATCCTCAGCACATGATACTACTACTGGAACAATTGCAGCAATTCGGGCCCAAGATAAATCTGCATAGGTCCACCTAGATGCCAATAAGAGAGTGATCAAAGTATTGCACTTGAATTATAATATGGCATAAAGCTGCCAGCCCACCATTTATCAAGACATTATGTTTACCAAAAACCCTATGCAAAGTAAAGTCGATATTTTAACTTTTAACAATGCAATACTGGTCAGAAAACTCTTCAATGGTTGAAAAATTCTTCGCATGCCTGGTGTAGCCCTTCAATCTGGTTTCAGACCAATCATAGATTCAAGCATTGAAGGAAAAGTTGCATGCTATGACATATAATATAGCTTCCAATAATTTGCATTTTTTTCTACTCACCACCAACAACAACAACAACCCAGTTAAATCCCACAAGAGTAGGGTCTGGGGAGGGTGTGTGTACGCAGACCTTACCCCTACTCGAAAGTAGAGAGGCTGTTTCCAAAGAGACCCCCGGCTCAACGTCGAAAGTTGCATTGCTTGACTAACTGCTACTTCAATAATTAAAGAAGCGCAGACAGTTTAGAGATCCATTTTGATTTATTCCATCACACCCCAAAGCCAAAAAATGGTGAAATTTTCTACTCAAGTCCACAAAAAAGGGGTTAAGATCCAAATACCAGTGCACGCTATATAAATGTAAATTTTATCACAAGAGGAACAAAATCACTTTCGTCCGGATTCATTCTTAAATACGGAGTAATATAATTCCATTCTTCTATACTCACACTGTGACTGCAAGGTTTAGATGCTAGAATTCTATAATGATCGACAATCAATTACTTAGGTTTATTCTGTGATAGATAAATGCTGTATGTAAAATGCATGTATGAAATGTGCGTGGTTGCCATTTCTCAACTGGTAGAGTGAACAATGTTTCCTTATTGGTCCTGTATCCAAATCCCACATGCAATTATTTTTTTCATATCCATCGCTTACAGCATTAAATGCTTTTCTAGATCCCACATTGGTAACATTAAGCATTCACCCCTCCCACTATTCTCTAAAAAGAAAATGCATTCTTTTCTTTGCAAAATAGGAAGTTGTTTGTTGGCGGCTACTTCATGTAGTTAAAATTTTCTTTTATTTAAGAAATTATTATCAATGACAATTACTTTAATTATCGAATTGGTTCTTAATCCACATGCCTACTGCCTAATTTGCCTAGTCTGCCTAATTCAAGCCTAGAAACCCGTCACCCGGCAAGCTACAGTGACACCAAAGGAAGAAATCCAAGTGGCTTGGCCAACCTAGCACCTACATGCATAGAATTATTCTTTCCATCATTGTAACCACTCAAGTTGAAAAGAAATCCTATCATCCATAACATACATAATCAGCATAAGTGGAAGTGAGCAAGAATATCATCAATTAATGCATTCTGTAAGTAAACTCATTCAATGTGTAAACAATAGCAGATTATATATACTGTTGGTGTACAAGTTGCTTTTTATCTCTTGCATGGTAAATTGAGATGGGTTTTATGGTTGGCTTGTGTGAGGGTTCTCAATGTGTAAATAGTACAACTTGTCAGTTTAACTGCTATGCCCCACCTAGGCAGCCACCTTTTAGCACGGTGTTGCATTACTCACATAGCTGCATGGATGAATTAACAACCATCACACCTTGTCAGCTTATGGTTTGTGCTATCAGAAACCATCTCACTCTATGCAATCTTTAAGCAGTTAAGAATTGTTCAAATCAAAATTTGAGATGTATGTAATAGAAGTGCTTCTAAAACATAGATTTCAGGTTCTGTCATGCAAGACTATTGACTTTTATGTCTTTACTTTCACCCCCGTGTTTCAAAATAGTGAGGAGTGCTATTCATTCAATTCATTTCCAGGGGAAGTGGGGATCTGTTTCAAAACTGAAGGGTAAATCAGAACTGAGTTTTCTAACTAACTTTGACCTTTTGTGATTTATAGTTTGTATCGGTTGAAGGTCCCCAGTAAAAAACTACTTACGAACTCTATAGTAGCAAACTGGCAATAGATAATTAGATACTACCTTATGAGCTCTTCGGGCGAAGAAAGACTAAGCCACCGTAAAATACGGCTAGTAAGCATTGTCTCTGGACCTCGACCATCATGAGCCCTCATCACTGCACTTAAACCTTTAGCAGCAATGCCATAGCCACTGCAAGACCAGAGAAACACAATTCAGATCACAAGAACACAACCACACAAAAGCTGTAGCACAATTAAAACTCGAGTCATAGGACACGTCAACAATAAAAGAAGGATATTGAAAATGTATGGAATTTTTCTAAACTACACTAGCAATATGTGAACAGGTGAGAAAATCGCTGGTAAAAGACAAAGAAAACTAATTCATTAGATAAAATAAAAAGTATAATCAGTAATAATTCATTTGCAACAACAACAGGAACATCATACGTAGTAAAATCTCAAGAGGGTCTAGAGAGGGTGGGAGCTGCCCCTACCTAGAAAAGGTAGAGAGGCAACTCATTTCATTAGGTAATTTTTCATTGTTTATAACAAGAAAAAGGAACAAATCTCAGCTGAAATATATAAAGGGGAAGAAAGGATTGCATAAGCATTTAAGAAATATGTAAAACACAGTAATAAATGCATAGACTGCACAAATTTGTGTGAAACACAATGAGTACGCACCAACTTTACCTCCCCCAATCACCTAATACAGGTCCTGCCCCAGCAGCACGGGCTTCTTGGCCATCCTCAGTGAAACCATAACAAATGCTTCCCGTACCAGCAATCAGAACACATCCAGAAAGTTTCCCCATGGTCCCGCTTGCAAGAGCAGCTACAGCATCATTGCGAACATATAACTTTACATCACTTGGGAAAATGTTCCTATGCAGGAAATTATGTGCATTTAAAAGAGCATAAAGGAAGCATCATAGATCTTATATAACATGATCATTTTAAAACAAAAGTATATAAGCAATCTCATGTTGAATCAAACAAAAAAAAAGCTTCTACTCTATCACAACTTCACAGCAACAGGGGAAAATAGCAAGCCACAGTTTTAAGACTTGTTTTGGTCCTTTGGCTATTTATACTTCCTCCTAGCCACTGTGTGGATATAAATAGTTATGTCGCATGATGTCATAAACTGCCAGGCAAGGCATTAATGGCCCTTGTTCCCAAATCCCACTGACACGACGTTAGTTCACACTTTCAATTCCCATTTGTCATGCTTAAGTAATTCATGTCATAATACGAAAATTTTGCCTGAGATTTATGAAATATGTGGTTTCAGGCTGACAGTTTCTTTTGAACCCTTATGGCCATTTAGTCAGATTTATGACCAACTGTTAGTGTGGTTAAGGTTTTTTTAACTTTGTTACACTTCAACACACTGATTTCATGGAATAAGTATATGACACCACATATGTACAATATGATACACCCTCAGTCCAATGGCTTTATCTGTACTGCACATTGTGCTCTCTAAGGGTCTGAAGTACACTTTTATAATCAAACTGCAACATTTCTGAGATAATGAAAGCTGTAAATCTTTTGGAATTGAATCGATCATTAAGATGGTTTCATATTACAGTATTTCCAACGATACTTGAGGATCATCCAACTGAACCATATCAGTTGATAAAGCTTTCTAAATTCAAATCGAACTATTCCAAATAAATGTCCACATTATACTTGGAAACTTCTTTTCCAATATATTACCATGCATATACAAAACTTGAAGATAGAATTGGCACCAAACCTCAACCAGTTCAACATTTTCTCTTGATCAATTGGGTGGTTAATGCCAGATAGTCCTAAACACACTGCCCGCACATGTGATTGCTTTATGCCAGCATTTGAAAGTGCTTCTTCCATGACCTTTAAAAGTGTTTCCTTTGACGCTTGTTCTGTAAATATAATAATTAAATAATCAATAAAGATTGGTTTTTTGTTACCTTTTTTTTAGGATGTACAGCATTTTGTTTACTACTCATAGATTAATCTAAACAAAAGTTACCCAGAATATTCAATAAAGATTTATTTTTTTGCATTAGATACAATTTTGTTGTACCAAAAAAAACCCATCACCCCCTCCCCCACCACACACATTGCCAAGGCCACCGCCCCCTACATGCCTCTCTTCCGGCACTAAAACAAACTTCCTCAACTTGCGGTACATAGAATGGAGCTAATGGAATTAATTAATTAACCTAACAAACAACTACTGTGCAAAACAGTAGTGCTTTCTGCCTCGATCCTCAAATTAACTTGAATCATGTAAAAACAAGTAATAAAGCGGGATTCATAAGCAAGTAGGGGAGTAGATATGCGGAAGCGAAAGGAGTGGATCGATATGTACCTCCGACGCTGTTCTGGTTGGAGCAACCGGCGATGGCACGGCCGAGGACGGGAAGAGGATCGGGAATGTCAGGGAGGGGGAGGAGTGGTAAGCAAACGCAGACTGTGGAGGTGGCGCCGCCGTCGACACCCAATATCACATCGCCGGAATTGGACTCCGATCCCATCTCTAGAAAGACGACCGGCTGAAACAGCGACACTAATCTATTTTTGCGGGATAAAATACGGTCGGGTATTTGGCCTGGCCGGAGTGGCGGGACCGGTTGATTGATTAATCAATTATAGCAACACCCGGCTGGAGATACAGTACAGATCATCAGATGAGTCCGTAGACTATTCAAATCTATCGGGCATTGTTTTTATTTAAGGCCTCTTTGGGAATATCGTTAGAGATTAGCATTAGCGCTTTAGATAAAATTTTAATGGTGTAGATTACTTTGAAAAAGCTAACGTTAAACGCTGCCCGTAGATAGCCTTTTCAAAACGCTAACGCTAATCGCTAACGCTATTCCCAAACAGACCCTTAAACTAGTACTTGACCCGTGGCACGCACGGGGTTAAACAATTTTTTTTAATTTTAATATTTTTTATCAATGTAATATTTTTTCCAGAATAAATAAAATTTATTTTTAATATGATTTTTAATACAATAGACATCAACATCAAAGTAAAATAAATAATATTTGAAGAGTGAAAGTCTAAACGATAAAGTCTATCGTTTTACTCTGTGTGTCGTAAGCCTTAAAATATGTGCAAGTGTTGTTTGCTTTTTTGTAAATTTATATTTAGTGGAACAAGTAGATATACTTTGAGAAAAAATGTGTAGTTTGTATAAAAACAATCTGTCTAAATGCTCCAATGCCCCCTGTGGTATGGAAAATTGGAACCAATACCCATCTGTTTTCAAAACGTATATCTAAAATCTCCGTAATTTCAAAATATTGCACTCACACCTCCTTTGATCATTTTCCAGTGAAAATGGGGTGTTTGTGCCTATGTTCCAAACCATAGATGCACTCGTGCTCGTTTCTTATTTTTTTGTATTTGAATGTTTTCTCCCTTTAAACTCTTTTTTACTCTTTGTTTCCTTTTCATAGAAATTTTTTTTAAATTTCTTTTCATTTTGTTATAATGTTTTAAAAAATTCAAATTTTTTGTGTTTGAAATAAAAATAAAAAAAATCACATATACTTAACCAATCTCAAATTATGCATTTTTACTTTTTTTAGAATAATTTTTTGGTAAGTTCAAAAAGAAAATTGAGAATAAAAAAATGGGAAAAATTGAAACATGCAAAGAAAAGTCTTATACAAAAAGAGTCTTTAGAATGTCTTAATAATTCTTAGAATTGGTATGTCCAAAAATGATATTCATTTTTTATTTTTTGTTTTATTTTATGTATTATTTTATTCTTCATTTTTTTAATATTCTCAAAATAAATTAGTTTTTTATTTTGGAAACAAAACTAAAGATGTACAGAAGTAATTATTTTTTGCCAAAGAAAAATAATTTTAAATTTTAAGAACAATATAAAAAAAAATTGAAAAAAATTTAAAAAAACGTGATTAATAAAAGAAACCATAAAGGAAAAGAGTGAAAAATAAAAAATAAACGAAAGATAAGAAATGTACATGAGTGCCCCATATTGTTTGGAAAATAGACACTAATGCCTCTTATCACCGAAAAAATGGCTTAAAATGATCAAAATGGATATAGGTGCAACATTTTGAAACCACAAGTATTTTAGAAATAAGTCTTGAAAACATATATGGTATTGGTGTTTTTTTAAATCACGAGGGGCACTTGTTCTATTTGAAAAAAAATATAACCATGTCTCTAAATATGTTAAAAGTCATTTATTTGAAAACATAGGATTTGAAATATTCAATAATGTCATTTATGTTCTATCACTGCACAATTAAAATATCTTTACTCATTCCTATCACTTTTCTCTCTCCTTTTTTGTCACATCATTTCCCCCCTTAAATTTTGATATACTCCTTTAATGGTTTACACTTTTCATTTCATTTTTTTTAAAAAAATGTGGTCCTCACATTTTATAAACTTATTTTATTCATTATAGTTTAATTAATAATAATAATAATAATAGTAATAAAGGCATAATGCGAAATACAACAATAAGGGCAAATAATAAATATACTGTTGTGAACTGAATACTTTATTCATCATATGTCGGGGTATTTATACATACACGGGGAGAAGGTAAACTATAGGTAAACAAGGTAACCAAATATTCTAAATAATAAGAGTAATATATCTGTCATATTTAACACTCCCCCTCAGATATATCATCGTTCATTATACACTAACAACATTATGCTACGGGATAATGTTGGCTAGGTTCTTCAGGACCTATATTAACTGATACTACAGGATCAGTTATGCTGCCTCATTAAAAACCTTACTAAGAAAACCCAGTGGGACAAAACTTAGTTAAGGGAAAAAGAGTACAGCGTGTATAATGTTTTCCCTCAAAATAAAAATATACTTCCCCTCAAACTAATTTATCTCTTTTAGCGTGCGAAGTCCAATCTTCTTTATGAGTTGCTCAAAACTGTGTCTAGGTAGAGATTTGGTGAATAAGTCCGCCAAATTTTGCTTGATTTAACTTGAAGAACATCGATCTCTCCTTCTTTCTGCATATCAGATGTTGAGAAAAACTTTGCTGAGATTTGCTTCATTCTGTCTCCCTTGATGTAGCCTTCCTTGATTTGAGGTATGCATGTTGCGTTATCTTTATATATAATCGTAGTATTCTTCTTGATTTCTTTCAAACTGCATGCTCCTTATATGAGATTGATCATCAATCTCTATCATGCTCGCTCTCGATCACTGTCGTATAATGCTATCAGTTCGGCTTGATTCCATGTTGTTGTTCGTGCTCGCTTAGTCGACTTCCAAGAAAAGTTGTATCACCATATGTGAACACATTACCTGTCTAATTTCACACTTAAAATTT